TTTTTGTTCAATTATAGGCTTCGATTTGAAAACAACCAAAGCATATACTGGTATATGCTTTCGTTTTCTAAAATATCGAGACCTATAATTATACAAATAATTTCAAAACTGTCAGTGGTGAAACTTTTATAAATATTTGCATAATTATAGGCTCAAATTATTTAAAGAAACGAGGTCTAAAAATTTTTAAATAATTTAAAAAATATCACTAGCGATATTTTTGTAAATATTTACACAATTGTAAGCATCAGTTCTTTAAGAATCGAAGCCTATAGTTATGTAAATATTTACAAAAATGCTAGTGACATTTTTGAAATTATTTTAAAAACTATAGACAAAAAACCAAGGCCTATAGTTGTGTAAATATTTACAAAAATGTCATAAGTGACATTTTTGAATTTATTTGAAAAATTATATGCTTTGATTCTAAGGCCTATTTGTCTATTAAGATTAAAATTACATTCCCACTAACATTTTTTCATTTACTTTGCATCAATTCTCCATTGCAAGAATGACTTTACTCTCTTTCTCGTCTCCAAACGCAAACCATATAGTGTCACTTTCGTTGTCACTTCTCCACTCTCTTTCCTTCTCTTTCTTATAACCAACGCGAATTGTGTCGTGGCGTTGTCACTACGAGCATCCCTTTTCTTCCCATTTCGAAAGTGGTTATAGGTTCTTTTTTTAACTTACATTTTTTTTGTTTCATAATTTGTTTTTTCTAATGCAAATATTTTTTTAAACTCTTTTGTTCAATGTGAAGGTGAGAAAGGTAGTGGTGACTTTGTTTGTTGGTGGGGAGCACCATAATTCTATGGTGGAAAGAAATTAATTTTTTTAAAATAAATATTGGAATAGGTTTTGATTCTTATTAAAAAAAGAATCAACGCATAAATTAAATAATAGTCTTCCGTTATGAACCAAAGCATATATATATATATATATATATATATATATATATATATATCCGAAGATATATATACCTTGTCTGAATATACTTCGGTTAAAGAATCGAAGAATAATCTCCAAAATAACCACTGCAAAAGCCCTTGTCTGCACTAGTGCATTATAAAGAATTTCAAGTTTATCTTTTCTGGCTTCTCCTTGCTTAAGCTCGTTCTTTAACTCGTTTATTGTATGGTTGTGAAAGTCTTTGCTTTGCTACCTCTTCTCATATTTTAGACTCTTTATATTTCATGTCTAAAAGATCAAGTTAGTGATCCTCCTTGTTGTCTTCCTTATCAAAGGATTGTCTTGTCAAACACTTGTAGAGAGTAATTCTCTTTTCCTCTGAAGATGATTTTGATGAAACTTTGAGCTTTTAATGAAGGATGATGTAACTTCATACTAGTACCACCCAAATTGCTAGCTATGCAGTGCATAGCAGTTTTCAATGGGAAATATTATTAATGGTTTACTTAGTAGACTTTTAGAAAAGACAGGTGAGTAACAATGAACAAACTTAAGAACCTATTCTTTCCTCATATTTTTGATTTGATGAAACATCCTTAGTTATGACATCGACACTCTACCAGAGAATATCACACATACTTCATCCTTTCTCTCGAGTTTCTTCTCGAATGACTTTTTGTTCAATATTATGAATTACTCTTAACACTTTTGAAATAATTCTCAGATGACTTTTCATCAGAGATTATTGCCACCAACTTTTGCTTAAATTTGGGTTGGATCAATTTTCTTCTTTTAACATTGAGACTCAACTTGACCATTATTATTGAAGTTTAGCATGACGGTAAGTTGGAATTTGTTCGGCTTACTACATATAAATTATGTGTAATCATGTTTTATTCCTTTTTCTTCTTCACGAAGATATTGTTGCGGGTATCAGAGTTTGTATCTAATTCGATTATGAATTTCTGATAAGCTCCTTGTCTTCGAAGTGATGTCGTTTAACTTCTTCCTGTGATCTTGATACAAAGAAACAAGCAAAATATTAAAATATCAAAGTTTTTTTTAATCTTATGTCATAAATAATATTTTCAAATTTGTGATTATAAAAATAGATTTATTATCAATCATTTAAAATAAATATTTACATAAACTTTTCTTTCACATATTCATATTATTCATATTTTAATTCAAGTGTTTCCCGTAAAAGTGACTTAAATTAAATATATCTATATAACAAACATTTTATATAATATTATCTTTAAATTTTACAATAAAAGAAATAATAATAAATCAAGTAAAATATTAATTGTTTCTTATAAAAATCTAAAAAAATAATCAAAATAAATAATAATAATAAAACTGATATATAAAAAATTGATAAAGTGAAACAACAGAATAAAATTATAACTAAAGAAATAATTCCAAAGTCTCACTTGATAATATTTTATATAAATTGTTTAATATAAATTATTGTGTTTGTTATATTTTTTTCATCCACCTAAGTTGTATTTATAAAAGAGAATAAATAATAATAAATATGATGATTAAAATAAATTAATAATAATAAATTTTATTAAAATAAAAAAATTTCCATCAATAAATAATATTTGTTTATAAAATTAATAGTTCATAATATGAGAAACAATACAATATTTTTTATTTTATTTTTTAAATTCTATTAAATATTTTAAACATTATTATCTTTTATGCACCAATCAAGTTTTTAAGATGATGTAGCCTATCCTGTCATTTTTCACATTATGTCATAAATTATTTTTATCTAAGTAATATAGTTATATTTTTATTTTACTTTTTTTGTGCATATATAAAAACTAATTAATATTACGTAAAAACTTATACTCTTCTCTAAATAAAGTATTTAATTAACATATCTCTACACTCTTCTGATAGTATTTTTTATACATTTAAAATATGGTTACATTTTTTTTTTCTACAACTACACTTAGAAGTACATTAGTAGTACATGCACAATAATATTTTCTCTCATCTTCATTTGTAATTAAAATTAATTGAATTTATATTAGTGTAATATTGTGATTATTGTATTGAAAATATTCAAAATTTCTACAGTTAAAAGGAAGTATACACATGTATTTTCTCTAATAATTAATGTCTCTTCACTTTTAAAACTTCAATATTTATTTTTCAATATATATAAAGGCATAGCATGTTATTAAATTTTAATATGCAATGACTTCATAATGAATAATGTATTAAATGTAAAAGGGAACATTAAATAAGTCAAGAAAAAGTGTTATCATTTTAAGGAGTCAGTTACTTGAAGTATATATTATGTCTCTTAATCTTCTATTTTATTTTAATAACTATATATATTAACGGATCATAAATGCATATTAATTATTTTTCACATAAAAATAATATTTTTTCTCTTAAATGTGTCTTATCAAGATGTTAAATTATCTCATTTTATTTATTAATATATATTATAATATATTGAAAGCAATTATCTTTTCTTATTGTTATTAATATATAATAATTGTTAAAATAATAATAATAATATAATAAACATATTATATTAATTGATATGCACATTTTGTAGGATAATTATCTTGGAATTATTTCATATTAAAAAAATTTCACGAGAGAAGTGTGAGTGTTTTCTTATGAGAGATAATTAATATACATCAATGATATATTAATATATGAGTTGTTAGTCTAAAATAAAATATTAAAATTGAAAGTTATATATATATATATATATATATATATATATATATATATATATATAATGCAAACAATAAAAAGTATTAATGGAGTGTTTATGAATTATTTATTACTCTAATATAAAACAAATGGGAAAATATAACCTTCTTTTCTTTTTAGAAGTAGGAAAATGTAGAATGTCAACCGTCATAGTAACTATGAAACATAGCCGTAGAAAATTTTCACATTTTCGTTTACTATTTATTTTTCCATTTCTTCTTATCCCTACTTTATAATTTCTGTCATGTTTTAAAATATTTTGATTTAACTTTTATTTTCAAAATTAGATGATTGGAGATAATTTCCAACAAAATAATGTTAAATTACATCAAATATAAGTAAATATAAATTTTATCTTACAAAGATGGTTTTATGAAACTAAATTTAGTTTAAATTCACATAACTCATTTTCACAAATTTTTTTGAATTTATTGGATCACCCACAAAGTCCTATGCTTGAGATATTAGTCCTTGATGTGAGAAAATAATGTTAAAAATCAGGCATGGGTCAAATAAAAGATCGCGTTATAGTAGTAGAAACTTTATTTTATAATTTTGTTTTGTTTGATTAAGTTAATGAATTTTAAACCTAACTTTACATGTCAAAATTAGCTCGTGTGAAACTAAATATTAATAGACGTAATAATAAATACAATAAACACCAAATTTGATTAAGATATATATAACTCATGACTTTAAAACAATATTAAAAAATAACATTAAGTTTAACTCAATTTTATAAACTAATTTGTAAGATGAGAATTATACTAACTATCATATTCTAATCTTATTTCTAATCGATGTAAGACTTTCAACAACATTTACTCTCTTAATTTGTATTTTTTTTTAATTTATTGTTTTACAATTTCAAAAATACATTTATTAATTTTTCCAATTATTCTTTTATGTATATTTTCATTTAACAAGGATGGATATCCTTTATAATTTCTCAACTTTCTGAAAAGCAAAATCTATAATTATAAGATACGTATTCCCCCACATCACATTCAACATATTCTACCTTCTCTCTACCTCTCTTCTCCATAAGTGACTAAATTGTTGAGCTTTTCTGCATGGAGTTTGATCCAAGCTTCCAAGGGCAACTACAACACCCATTCCTTTCAACTCATTTCCCCACAAACCCTAACATGATGCCACAAATCCAAACCATGTTTCCCTCACAAAGCCCTATTCTGATTCCATCATCACCACCACCACCCATCATGTTTCATCCCAACAACACTTTCCACCATATTCAAGATCACACCTTTGGGATACCTACCCAAAACCCTAACTTTTTGTTTGAGGGTCCTTTAAAACCCACCACAACTCCTTTTTGTGGGATGTTAACACCTTCTTTAGGGTCTTCCATAGGAGGTTTTGCCAATGTTTCCCATCACCACCCTATGATGTTGCCACCACCAAACAACAACAATGCTTTGCATGGCCAACATGAAGGCAAAGTCATATGGGATTTCTCTCAAAAAACCATGATTCATCCATCTTATGCTTCTTCTTCTTCCAACTCACCTTCACCTCTTTCTTTTCCTAATATTACCCAATACAAATGGAAAAGTAATCAAAAGATAAAGATGAAAAAAGATACTAATGATCTCATAATCAAAGGGTGGTGGACTCCTGAAGAAGACAGGTATAAATAAATACAAACATATATTTTGTAATCTTGTGTGTGTATTTACATTTATTTATGTTTGAAATTTTGTAATATTTTTGTTTTTTTTTTTATGTTTTACAATGCAAAAACAAGTCAATAATTAGTGGCTAAATTTAGTGAAAAGTTATTAATTATGGGACCACAATTTTTATTGTGTTTGTTTACTAAAAAGACAAAGAAATTGTATTGAGAGGATGAACTTTGAGTTCATTTAAGACTTTTTTTAATGATAGAAGATCATGAATTTTAATTAATTAAAGTCTGTTGTTTTTTACAGTAGTCTTGTGGAATTGGTGAATGAATTTGGGTTGAAGAAATGGACCCAAATTGCAAAATTTCTACCCGGAAGGATTGGGAAGCAATGTCGAGAAAGATGGTACAACCATCTTCAGCCAAACATTAAGGTCTCTTCTTTTTCCATTTTTATTTCTCATATATACATACATATATATATATATAGATATATTATAACAAATATATATATATATATATATATATATATATATATACTTCCCATCTTTTTTGTGAATCATAACATCAAAGTTTGAACTTAATTATATAAAAATAGGACATGTATTATGTAATAAATTACACTAATTAAACATTCAATTAATTCATATTAATTTGTGTCAAAGATTGAAAAATTATGCAACTAAATTAGTTCATTAGATGGTTCTCTCTCTCTTCATAGTGTATATTGGAGATGAATGTCATAGAGTTAATTGAATTATGAATTTATTTATATTCAAATCATATTATGTTACTAATACGAATATATTTATTCACAATACTGAAAAAAGTTTTGTAATTAATTTTTTATATATAAAAATGACATTTTATTGAGTTACTTTTATTAAATTTATTTGTAATTTATAGTAGTCTATAACCCTACAACCTAAACTGTTCAGGTGAGGTAATATATGACTTGAAATTTTTATCACATTTATTTAAACACATAAGCTAATTAGATATTAAATTTAACCCTAGAACCTTAATTGTTTTGTCATTTATATTTTCATTGTTTACAATAATTAAATTAGATTTATATTTTAAAATTTAATTTAGTTGTAATATGAAGTTTATAGATATCTACTCGTACATCATGTATTTCAATAAAAAAGAATTAAGGATAAAATATGTAAAGTTCAAAATAAATTCCCTAGAATATTTTTTCTTATTTTTCTCTAATTTTCGAATGCACCAAAACTAAATTTAAGATATTTTAAAAGGACTAAAATCACATTTTTTCAAATAAATAATATTTTATAAATAAAGGTTATTTAATAATTTCTTTATGAAATTTTATATAAATATTTCATTTCTTTGTTGGTTTTGTTAATATACATGGTATTTTTCTCTTTTAGTTTCAACAGCGAGTCAAAGTGAACGAGTTTACAAGTCCAGTCGATTCTTGTCGGTTTTGAAAATCATTTAATATAACATTTTTTTTTTCAGTTCTTGATCGTTATTAGTATTTTTATTTAAGAATATATTTCTTATGTGACTTTTATTCATATTTGATATACTTTGATATGTAGACCCCAATTAAAAAAAAGCCAAATTCGTGATAATATTTTTATATAAAATGTTATTTAAATATTTCATTCGTTTCTTACAATTTTAAAAATTTATTTATCATTCTTAAATAAATTCTTATCAAAGATTATGCAACACAACTTCATTAATCCATGTGAATTATCAAATAAAACATGATTATTCTATTCATTCTGTACATAATTAATTTGAAGAACATGTATCACATAACTCTTTCTGAATTAACTAAATTGTTCAGAAGGAATCATGGACCCTGGAAGAAGACATGATTCTGATGAAAGTTCACCAAGAAATTGGAAACAAATGGTCTGAAATTGCAAAAAGATTACCTGGGAGAACTGAGAACAACATAAAAAACCATTGGAATGGTATCAAGCGTCGGCAAGACTATAAAAGGAACAACAACAAGAACAATGACAACCCTAATAATTACGATGAATCAATGCTCCATGCATACATCAAAAGGGTCACTGTTACTGAAGAAGCTGCAAGAGTTCAGAAGAAATCTGTCAGCAAGAATAATAAGAAGGATCAATGTTCATATAACATGCTTGATGGAAATACCAATTTAGCTAGGAATGTGGGTATATGATATCTTTTACTTTACCATCTCTTGTTTTATGTGTTTTTCTGCAGTTACATTTCTAATTTAGTAAGCTTTAATGAACAAAAGCTTTTATTCTTGCAGTCACATATAAATGTTTATGAATTGAAAGTTTGAGCTTGAATAAAAATTATGTTTTTCACTTCAAAAAACTTGAACCACTCTCTATTTGTTTGGAGTACTTTTTAATTAAGAATTTGATTAATATCTATTCATGTATAAGGGTTTGTTCTAGATGAAAAATAAGGGTTGAGAGCACCCATTTAAGATCTTTAATTCTTTTTACATTTTTCTTTTCTATTTTATGGTATATTGAAGGGTTGGTGTAGATGAAAAATAAGAGTTTTTCATTTTTATTATTTTGTTGAAAATTCTATTTCAATTAAAGAAAAAACTAATTTAAAGTATATAAACACGAACCTTATTTTATAATTTAATTTTATAAAATTAAGTCAAACTTAAAATTCATCTTTTTGAAATACAAAAAAAACATCGACCTATCGACCTTTTTTCTTAAGACATCATGCTTGTCAAAACATATATCACCTTATTAGAAACGTAGGTGGGGTTCAAATATAAAAAAATCAGAGTTTTAAATTTAGTTAAAACATTTATAAACGGGTTTTTACAAATGATAAAAACGAAATAACAATAACAAATTAAAAATAAAAATAAGTCTCTTCTTATAACTAAAATTTACATAATAAAATCGAACGGAATCAGCCAGATAATACCGAGACGAAAACAATAGTTTAAAACTAGAAAAACCAAACAGTAGCAACAAATAGAATGAAATATTAGCTAATGTAACACAATATTGAAATTGTAAATGTTTTACTGTGAGTTTGTCTCATAACAAATATCAATAATAAAATTTCTATCTTCAATTAAAATAAGTAAAAATTAATATATTCGTTTGATTCCAAATATTGCACCTAACTTTTAAATAAAGTAGCAATAACAAATTACAAAATCAAAGAAAAATTAAAAAAATATATGTACTCAAGTATTTGATGTAATGAAAAAGAATATTATTATTCTATCCGCAATAAAAAATTATTAAAAATAAAATCAAGGCATCAAGTTCGTATATCCCTATACGTGGTTGTGATTATAAGCAATTATTTATCAAGGAATTTTAAATATAATAAAGTATTTATACTAGAGAAGCTTAGAGGTTCTTAAAGCAACTTTTCTGTTGGAGTGTCTCATAACATTTTAAAATTAATTTAAAAAATTACTGAACTTTTATAAAATTGAGTGCAAGTTATTCAGATGTGGTATTCTAATAAAACCACACATTACATTTTCCAACATATATACAAAAAGATGCTTCCATTATTATGTATGTCCTTAAATAATGTGTTTTTTTTAGAGATACGAACTTTATTCAAGTTGCTTTTAAGACTTATTAATTATACCTTACATAATACATATTTTTTGTGTGTTTATTGTGGTTTGATATAATGGTTTTTCCAAAATCCATTCTAGATTTAATTTAGATATAATAAATTGGATTGAATTTATAATTTCATTTGAACTAGATTAAATAGATTTAAAAAACTTTAAGTTTAATTTAAATTAGATTACTTTAATTTTGTAAATTAAATTAAATTCTATGAGATAAATTTTATATATATAATTATTAGGTTTATTAGATATGGACAAAGTCGATCTTCGGTCAGAGTTGACTCGTACCAACTTTTGACTAGAGCCAACTTGTGCTAATCTTTGGTTAAGGTTGACTTGGATCATCCTTTAATTGGGGCCAACTTGACTTATCTATGATTGGGATCAATTTGAACCAATCTTCGACTAAGATCAACCTAGTTGACTTTCAACTAGCGTCAACTTGATTGACTTCAATCAAGGAAACTCAGTCTACCTTCGATTTAGGCCAACACTATCGACCTTCAGTCAAAGTCAACTATGTCAACCTTTGGTCTAATTTGGGTTGACTTGGATCAATCTTTGACTTAAATCGACACCATCAACATTCGATTGACCTTTCACTTAGGTCAACACGACTCGCACTCTAGCCCTAACCGACTAAGCTTGAATTTTGGCTTGGGGTGACTTAACCTAAACTAACTTGTCTTGAGCTCCAGCTCGAACAAACTCATCTTAATTTTCGACCTAGGTTAACTCAAATTGACCTTCATTCTGAACCAACTTAGTTTAAACTTCAACTTAGGAAAACTCAAAACTTGATCTGTATCTTAAGTCGATTTTAGACTTGGACCAACTTAATTTGACTTCTTCCTCAACCTCCTTGACTTGACTTATGATGTATCTTAATTTTTTATTTTCAAAAATTGATTTAATCTAATTCCAATTTAATTTCAAATAGATGGATTGGATTTAATTTTAAAAGATATGGGTTTTAATTTGAGAAAAAATTGAATTATTATAAATTGTATATTGCCATGGTCAACATCTACAATTTTCTAAAAGACTTTAATCATTCAAAGGTTAATTTAATCCCAACATGAAAAAAAAATGATAAAATTGAAATATTTGAGGGCGGACAAATTCTCAGATATTAAAGATCATACCTAATTATAGCCTATATAGTAATGTAAAAATAATAATAAATTAATATTTTGCTTTTTTACTAAAATAAAACAATAATTTCTTACCCGCTGAAATCAACTTCTCAAATAAAATATTAAAGATATTTTTTAATGATTATATGTTTTATTGTTAAATTAAATATGTAAGTATTTTGTTCATATATATTTTACGCAATCATATAAAACATTATTTACACCAAACGGTATATATGTGGAGTATTTATCATACTACCAAAGAACTTCTACAGTATGATATAATTTCCATATACAATTTAATGAAATAGATATTTTACATTGTATCCATTTTATGAAAGAACAAAATAAAGATATATTTAGTTTAAAAATAAAATAAAATTCTTGAAAACTGTTTGGAGAAAAAAAATATATATTTAGCCCTAGTTTTAATTTGCATACAGAAGAGACAAAAACATGCAGTTAAAAGAGTTTATTTGAGTTTGATTAATTTGTCCTCTTTCAAAACATAAAACCAGGAATTGATTATGATTCATTCCTTTTTGTTGGCATCTGCATCCTAGTTACAATATTGTTAAGAAAACCATCATCATCAAACCTAGTTCTGTTTGTTTTTCTCTATATATATATATTCACTTACGTAGAGTTTCACTTGCAGCAACAAATTCAAACCTTGTTTCATTCAAAGATTCTGAACATCATCATCATGTTTCACCACACCAACACCTTCAACCTTTTTCAATGCCACAACATGAACAAGAACATGAACATGAACATGAACATGTCTGTTTGCAACCCTACCTCTATGATGGAGGCTCGTTCCAACCCTGTTACCACCCCTTTCTATGGAGGCTTTGCTAATGATCACTGTCACCATTCTGTGACGTTGGAACCAAACAAAACTGTCATGGATGCTTTGCATGGCAACCAAAAAAACACAGTCATATGTAAATTTTCACAGAAAACCATGTCGGCTCATCCATCTCAAGCTTCATGTTCCAAATCATCACCATTATCTTTTTCTCTCTTTAATAACTGTGAATTAGAGATGATGAGTGAATTTCACTGGGACAATAATCAAAATGCAAAGCTCAAAAATGATACCAACATTGCTAATCATAACATAATCAAAGGGCAATGGACTCCTGAAGAAGATAGGTATCTCTTGCTTTGTCGTTTTCTTTGGTTTTGGTTTTTCTTTTTCTTATTACAAAAAAAAATGGTTTTTTCTCAAATAAAAAAAAAAATATTTAGTATAACAGATTTGTATGTATCGATTTTAGTTTATGAAAAAAATTCATTGAAAAATATTTAATTGAACTGAATCTGTGGTTTTGTAGAGCTCTTATGGAATTGGTGAGTCAATTCGGACCCAAGAAATGGACACAGATTGCGAGATCACTACATGGCAGAATTGGGAAGCAATGTCGAGAAAGATGGCACAATCATCTCCGGCCAAACATTAGGGTTTTTCTCTTTCAATTCTTATTTCTTACGTTTACTTAATTTTCTGTGTATCAATATTAATGGGATGAAAGAGTAAAGTTAAACGTAATTTTATAAAAGTATTCTAATATCACTTTTTCATACTTTTTGAGACTTTTTTTATAAAAAAAAATTCTAAGAAATAAGTATATTTTTTTTAATCGTATTAGATCTATTTTCTTTTTCCCCTTTCTCTTCCATTATCCAATTATCCTCCTTCCATTTTTCTGATGGTCATTGCCATGTAATAAATAAAACACAGACTTGCTTTCAAAAATATGAAAAATGAAAATTTCAAGCAATTAAAATTGCGTTTATGCGAATTGAAGTTGAAAATAATTTTTTAAGAAAATTCATGTAAAGATTTTTTGCATTCTATTTACGCATGTGATAACATAATTGTGTAGAAAGGATCATGGAGCTTGGAGGAAGACATGATTTTGATCAAAGGGCACCAAGAATTTGGAAGAAAATGGTCAAAGATTGCAAAGAGATTGAGTGGTAGGACTGAGAATGACATCAAGAACCGGTGGAATGCAACCATCCGACGCCAAAACTGCAACAAGAACAGTAAAGCTCAGTACAAAGGCTCAATCCTCCATGCCTATGTTAAATGGGTCACTGCAACTGAACAAAAACTTCTCAGAAAACCCTCAGACAACAAGAATAAAAATGTCTTTGGATGCACTTGTGATGAGCTAGCTCTTTTCTTGAGCTAGCTTCAAGACAAAATAACAGTTTCAAAACTAAATCAATAATAAATAGACTATTTTTCTATTGGTAGAAATGTTTACAGCATGCCAAGAAATATCCGTAATATATATACTAAGCCGATTAATTTTCTATTGGGCCTAGGCCCATAATTTGTCATAGTTCATACTCCTAAACTTAAAACCCAACAAAAATAACCCCTGAATTCGTTGACTAATTATTATAGAACTGTTTCGATTTAATCAAAAATATAATTTTTATTATTATTTTGTCAGACTATATGGTTTTCCAATCAATTTCTTTTTTTCCAAACTATTAATATTTTCAACTACGCGTTTATATAGATGAACAAATAATACACTAGTTTGCCAACTTTTATATAGATGAACAAAATAAGCTAAATATTAACGATGCGTGAAGCAGTTTTTACACCTTTTGCTTAATCGTAAATATATTAATATTTATAATAAAATTTATTTTTTAAAAAAATTAATTAAACTTTAAGTATTTTATAAATTTACGCGTTTTTAATTAAATTTATAGTAAAAAATTTAATTCTAATAAATGTTTAAAATACTTTTTGTTTTCATCGTTGATTTTGTCTGTAGTGAAATAAATCATTATTATCTTCGTCTTCTCGCATTCAAATCACTCCTATCATTCTTTTCTTCTTTAATCTTCTGTAACTTCGTGTTCAACTTTTTTGTTAGAAAAAAAGAACAAATTGGGAGAAGGAAAGAGTAAGTAATAATCACATTATTTAATTAATTAGCAACAAACTATCTTAAAATAAAATATATTTTAAATATTAAAAATAAGCATACGAAATTTGTTATATTCTTAAGCTTTAATTAAACCTTTTAAAATCCATACCATTTCATACAATATAACTTTTTTTAAATCAAATTTCATATCAAAAATACATATATAAAAAATTATTAAAAAATATTTTAAAATCTAACTCAAATTTACAAAATCAAATTATAAAATAAAATTTTATTTTATTTTATCACTACCTAATGTGAAACATTCTATCTCATTCCTCGCGTTAAGACATTTACATGTTAAATAAGAAACTAAATATTAATTAATATCCTATCATGAATGTTAACACCATGCAACACCAATAATATAAAAAACTTTGATTATTGTTTTATTTCGTGAACATAAATAGAAGTAGAGATAATAATTCATTAAATTTATAAAAAAGAGAAATACATCCTTCCAGATTTATTGTTCATTGTTCTGAAGAGTCTTTTAAATTGATATTTTATTTTTTTATATTTTATTCATCAAACTTGGTATGTTTATACACTTTAATGTTTTGTTCTTAAAAAACATTTTAGATGATAAAAAAATATATTTAAACCGTTTAAATCTCGACTTCTAAAGTAGGTAAAATTATTAGATGCAGTAAAAAGTTAGAAGATTTATGATTAAAAGTGTAATTCAGTACACTAAAATTTAATGGGTTAAATATGTTTTTAGTCCCTAAACTATCAAAGCGAATTTGTTTTTAGTTCTTCTTTGAAAGTAAGATACATTTTAGTCCTTTTATTTAAAAAAAACGTTAATTTTTTATCCTCTCACTGTTAGTTATTGAGGACAAAAAATTAAGGTTTTTCTGAAGGAGGAGGACTAAAATGTACCTTAGTTTAAAAGAGGAACTAAAAACAAATTCGCTTGATACTTTAGGGACTTAAAACATATTTAACCTAAATTAAATCTGAAATAATCCAGATTATTACCATGATCATGGGGCTACAATACCTACTTTTTCCTTTTTCTGAGTGTGTCCTTTTGGAAGGGTTACTGTTCCTGAATATGTCCCTTACAGAGGGGATGATTGACCTTTGGCCTATAGTACAGAAAAACTCCAACAAGAGGAAGACCAGTATGTGTGGTCACATGCACACAACAGAAGAAATTAAGATGTTCCAAGGGAACATGCACCACAAGATTTGTGGGACACATACCATTATGCAAAGGCCATTATAGGCTTAGCAAGTGTCTTACAACACAGCCACAAACCACTCTTTTCACACTTCCCATCTCACTGCTTCATTTTCTACACACTCAACATCAACTACTCTTAAAATATCTCCATAAAATATCAAAAACATCACAATATTATATCTTTATATATATATATATAATTCTTATTTCATTTATTTCTATTTGATATAAAAAAATTACTCATGCTTAAATTTAGGTTAAATAATATATGTTTTTTACTAAACTATTATACAAAATTAGGTTTCATCTTCAAATTAAATTATAAAGTATTTAATCTTTTACTTTATAAAATTCATGTAAAATATTTCTTACAACATAGAACATGTATGGTATTTTTCAAGAATTTCACAATAAATTACTTTTATAGGAATTAAATATTTATAATTTAATTTAGAAATAAAATACATTTTTTGTGATAATTTAATAATTAAAAAACATATTTAACCTCTTAAATTTTTATATGTGAATAATTTAGCCCCTTGTATGATAAATCACTAAGATTAATTTTTTTTTTCATTATTTTGTAAACCAGAAACTATCAACTTTATAGCATGGTTGATTAATTAATTTTTTTCATTATTTTTGTGTTTAATTTATTTTTAGCATTAATTGCAGTGAGCTGGTATTGGCATTGTTTGTTTGTGGTTAAATGAGTCATAGCCAATAATTCAAGCAATCATGCATGATGGTCCTGAAAAANAGACATGATTTTGATCAAAGGGCACCAAGAATTTGGAAGAAAATGGTCAAAGATTGCAAAGAGATTGAGTGGTAGGACTGAGAATGACATCAAGAACAGGTGGAATGCAACCATCCGACGCCAAAACTGCAACAAGAACAGTAAAGCTCACTACAAAGGCTCAATCCTCCATGCCTATGTTAAATGGGTCACTGCAACTGAAGAAAAAGTTCTCAGAAAACCCTCAGACAAGAAGAATAAAAATGTCTTTGGATGCACTTGTGATGAGCTAGCTCTTTTGTTGAGCTAGCTTCAAGAGAAAATAACAGTTTAAAAAGTAAATCAATAATAATTTACTTAATTTAAGTCAATTAAATTAAATGTTCGGATGATTTTCATGTTTGTTTGTATTGAAATCTCAATTTTGTCTTCAATTTGATCTAAATTTTCTAAAATGTGTAAAAATGAAACTTACCTCAATTGCCGTGAACCTTTGTACCCAAAGTGTTTCGAAACAATGGGTTCGTCTTTTGATCTCTTCCTCTTCAAATCGTTTGTCTTCAAATCGATGATCAAACAAATGAAATGTCTTCATCTTTTGTTCTCTTCCTCTTCAAATTGCTGATGAAAATTTCCAGTATGAAATGTGCACCAAATCTGTTCAGTTTTAACCAAAATTAATTTCATGAAATAAATTAAATATAAATAAATGAATTAAATTAAGTATCAAATTAATTCACGTAATAAACTCCGTCACATAGACACATTTTAACGTTGTTTTTATCCACTAAAGAGAAATGACCTGTTTATTATATATTTTAAAAGATTAGGACTTAATTGAAACAACTTCAAACTTAAATTAAAGAACGAATTGAGAGATGGTGAAAGTTTTAACCAAAAAATAAAAGTCAAACTTTTCCTCTCTTATACTATTTTTTCACAATCTCATATCCACTGCAAGTATAAGAAACTTAAATATACAAATAGGAGAAAAAATAATGATAAGCCTACCTCTTTCGCCTTATAATTTTAAAAAATTAAATAAAACTAATTAATATTATAATTTTTATCTTAATATTTTAACATTCAAAATTGACTCCCTACACTCCAAAAGAAAAAAAAGAGGTACTGGTAGAAATGTTTATAGCATGCCAAGAAATATCCGTAATATATATACTAACCCAAGTAACTTTCTATTGGGCCTAGGCCCATAATTTGTCATAGTTCATACTCCTAAGTGAGTTGCTCCCTACACCACCCCACTTTGCTCCCTGTACCACCACATTTTTTTAAAATTCCAAAACTATCCTTTATATTTTAAAATATTCTACACCCCACCCAATTTCTTCAACGGATGTCAACATCCGTTGAAGAAAAAATTCTTCCACGGACGTGCTACATCCGTTAACGGATGTGGCGACATCCGTTGCCTTTTCTTTTTTTAGTTTTTAGTTTTTTTATTTTTTGTTTTAAATTAATATATAAATACTACTTAATTATTTTAAAATTNTATTTGTGTTTAATTTATTTTTAGCATTAATTGCAGTGAGCTGGTATTGGCATTGTTTGTTTGTGGTTAAATGAGTCATAGCCAATAATTCAAGCAATCATGCATGATGGTCCTGAAAAAAAAAAATGGATGAGCCAATCTTGTGAGTTCATTTATTTTTGCTATTTTTTTTTTTAATGAAAGCGTGGTTTTTTTTAATTATTTTTCGTGAATTTGTCTTGTTATGATGATTTCCTAAAATGGGATATTTTGATTATTTATTGTTTATGGATTTGTTTTGTTATGATATTAAAAAATTGTTTTATATTATCGATATCGTGTTCCTAAAATTGGAATATGAATTTATGTTTATAAATATGATCGATATTAGGTGTTTTAGCAAGATAATTTGATTTTAACTTTAGAGTAAGTAGTGATATATAAATTTTTAACTTATATTAGATTAACTGACTCAATTAATGACTTATATATTCATCATTAACTCGTTTAATCAATAGATCTTTATGAAATTTAGTAATTTACTATTTATTATGAATATTTACGGGATTTGTATTATTATTTTATAGTATTTTTAATTTTTTGTAGGTTCCATATTTTTAACTCTCTTAAGATTTATTTTAAATCTAAAAATATGTTGGATATTCTATTTTTTATGAAAAAAGAAATAAGAAAAATAAATATATTTAAAAGAATAGATGCTAATTTGTTAAAGATAATATATATATATACACACACACACACGATAAAAAGGATTGTTTACAAAAAAACTTGGTGTCCTCCAATGGACGTGATCTCCAAATGAT